GGTAGGGACAAGCCACATTTATGCATGCTTTGTTGACACCATGTATGTCCAGTGCAGCCTTTGGGTCTGTGCTGGGACTTGCTGAGCCTGAGTGGCCCAGTGTGTGTTTTGGCTTCATGTACAGGTCCCATGCAGCCCTTGCTTATTGAATTTTAACCAGAATTTGAAAATTTTTCTCGCACTGAAGTACGGAAGGGACCACGAGAGGTCACCTATTCTTATCACCTTATTCAAAGGCAGGGTTATATGTACTCACACCCCATCCCAGGCAAATGCTTATCTGATCTGTTCTCAGTCACCAGTAACAGGGATTCCACAGTCTCTGTATTCCAGTGGCTGGCGGGCTGAACAGTTGGGAATTTTTTCCTGTCTTTTAAAATTCAAAATAAGATCATGTTCTTCAGCTGAATTAAAACTAAGTAGTTATTTCTTGTAAGTTGTATACCACTCCTTCTAATATCTCCCCAGATTACATTTGCCTCTTGTGCGACAGCACCGAGTTGTTGATTCATTCTCAAATTTATCAATTATAACTTTACTCAAATTATACTCTTTAAGTTTCCCATCTTTCTGAACTGGGTCACATTTGCAGATTGTAGAAATCTCCTCCTAACCTGAGAAGTGCAGAGCCTGCTTTGGAGATAATTTCTAGGAGGCAGATTACTACCATTCAGCTGCAACACGCATGCAGCACAGTCTCACACCCAAGCTGCAGTAATGCAGAGAATTGTAAGTATCAGTTAGTGCTGATTCAATGAGTACTCACCAGGATCAGACAGGTCAGGAGAAGGGAGTAAGACAGTGATCACAACCGAGTTCTGATGGCATCTCAGACTAATTGAATTTCCCTTTTGGGACTTGGTGTGGCGTACTCCTGCAGTTATGGCAGGAGAGTTCTCCGTTACTGTAGCAAGCCATTAGTCATTCACAGAATGAATTGACAACTCCATTAGTAAAAGATAAAGGAAGGAAGCAGGGATAGTCTCGTGGCTGAGGAACTGGCTTGGGGCCCAGGAGATCAATATTGAACTCTGCCACAAACAACCTGTGTGACCATCACAAGGTATCTGGGCCTTAGCGTAACCATCCACAAAAGCCATGCTTAACTTTAAACACATAACTCACTCCTCTGTCTTCACCAGGTCTGGCTTCTGTGTGGTTTATTTAAGTAGTAGTTGGGTCTGTACACCATCTAAACCAGCAAGGCTGTGACCACATATACAACGTAAGTGAAAATGAATAATAGTCATCTTGCATGCACGAGAAGTATATTTTTGCTTATTAAGCTTTTCCCTTATTTTATGATCAGTGTTCATATTTTGTTTGTCTTCCCCTCACCTGCAAATGGACTGATACTAGTGTTTGAAGACTATTTTCATAGGCAGGTGATAAGAAACAAACATCCAGATAAAATGCAACTTTCCTTTCCCTGTTTGTTACTGAGTCTGTAGATCAAGGGTGTCTTCAAAAAACCTGCATGAGGTCGTCTGGCATTTTTTGATAATGGAAAGTGAATACCAAAAAGCATGATGAAAATAATTGCTCTTTTCTTCTCTTCCCTTGTAGTAACCAGTCTTCTTAAGAGCATTAGAGAAGAAGGGTGCACTCACGATGGCTGCTGAGTTGGATTTCTCCCCACCTGAAATCCCTGAGCCCACATTCATGGAGAACGTGCTACGCTACGGACTCTTCTTTGGAGCCATTTTCCAGCTTATCTGTGTGCTGGCCATAATCCTGCCGGTTTCAAAGTCCCAGAAGACAGTAAGCAGTGCTCTTTAATATTGATGCAGATGAGCAGAGTCAGAGAAAACAGGTTGGGAGGGAACTTTTGAGTAGCTAATGGAGACAGAATGGTCTGCCCCTGGGATTGATGACAGTTTCATTGCTCGTTCTCTTTCCTTCCTTCTAGTTTTCCCACCTCCAGCTTTTGTCTTGTGATTTACCCTCAGGTAAATTTACAAATACCTGAGACAGGGTCTCTCTGAATATCATTGAAAAAGGTGACTGAACCATGGCAAGGTTTGCTAAATGTAGATGTTCCTGACTGCACACGAGAAGACTGTTAGTCCCAACTCCATATTGTCACCCTGCTGCTGATTGGCTCTATTAATTGCCAGGCAGTGTGTCCCCTTTGCAGGACCTGCCTTTCAGAAGTGACTTTGGGCTCTAGTTTGTGTGTGATTTTTGGAAACAAGACACAGATGAAATTTCTCATGTATTCTAACGTGAGGAAGGCAGTTTTCAGTACTGACACCACTGTGCTGGCAAGTGGAGGGTCCTTTGATGCAGTTAATACAGAAGGTTAAAGTGAAAGGTTGAGATGAGCTACAGGACTCAGATTCCTCTAGACTGGGCCACAGTGGGGTGACCTGCATCTGCCTGGCTTTTTTGGTAGAAGAGCTCCACGTGCTTGGTAGTGCCTGTGGTGCTGGGGACAGGTATTGCAGTGTGGGTGATCAGGCTGCAAGTTGAGTGATTCAGTACAGATTTTCACTAAGTGTGTACGGTGCATTTTCAGTAACAACTCGTCATGGGGAGTTTTGTTTTCAGGCTATCTTTATTGCCATGTTTGCTCCCTCTTGTGCAGAGAATTTTCAGCCTGTCTGGGGAAAAGGAATGCCTGAGGGTGAGGTAGAGTGTGAAGGATACAGTTCATGACCCAACTCGTTCCCCTTTCACTCTTGGTGTGATGTGAAGTTTGTTGATGTGCTGGATTAGTGACGCTGCCCCAGTATGGGTGCGTGCTCCCTCCTGCTAGTCCTGCCACAGGAGCTGCAGCTCCCAGCAGGGAGAAGAAGCAGGCAGCTGCCAGTCGTGATACAGTGGCGTTGCAAGTCCTGCACTGTTATTCTGCAGCCACCAGTGACCGTCTGTCAGAGTCCATGGGTTCCCCTGGTAAATTCTGAGAAATGCTGAGTAGCCTGATTCTTGAAAGCTGAAAAGAGTGAGAGCTTCAGTTTGAAGTGGGACCCTGAAGACCAGACCCTCAATTAAAATGATAAAGCTCACAGACCTGTTACTGTTTAAGTTTGCAAGCATGCTTTGATGTCTGCATGCTCTACTTTTTATTTTCTCCATATGTGTACTGTCCTCTTGATTTCCTGTCAATGTGAGTAATTTACAAGACCATAAACACCAGAGGCTACCGCTCCAGATCTTGGGAATGATGCTTGAGTCTGGGTAGGATATTGAGGAGCTTCTGTCTTGGAGGCTTCAGGCTTTGAAGTCTACCTTGTTTTGAACATTAGAAGGCAGCAGTGTTCACTGTATGGCATCAGCGCACTCCATCCCTGAGCAGTAACTGCATGTTGCTTCATTTCTCCAGAGCCTGCCAGCTCCCCATTCACCGATTACAGCCTTTGGAAAGCCAGCCAAGTCTCCTTTCTTGGAAAGCCACACAGATGTGAACTGTAATAGCCCAGTAACTTGAGAGACGTTTGAACCGAGCTCCTTGATTAGAAGGATACTGTCAGATGCTCGCCTCCCCCTCCATTATCTGGAGCACTCTCTTGGAAGCTTGAAACTAGCACGTCTTGCTCAGCCATTTTTTGTGTGTCCTTTTCCAGTTGGCACACTCGAACTGATAGAAACCAAGATGCTAAAGCAATATTTATACTCAAATGCATTTAATGAAAGGAGGCAATCTGCATGTGTGTGCTTTCTCTGATGAGACTGGCGCTGTTCCCTTGTGTTTTTACAAGATATCTAGACTTTATTTCCCATGGCTGAAATATTATCTGTCATCTCCCCTGAAGGAAACAAGCAGGTTATCTAAGCACTCCTTAGTCCAGGTGAAGAAAGCTTTGCTCACAATTCCCTCCCTGGATTTTGGGCTTGGTTTAGAGGCTCTGAACTTTACATTCTTACTACTGTTTGGGGAAATTTTTTTGTCTTGCACATGATAATGATTAACACTTGGCAGAAATACCTGCTGAATGTTTCCATGCATACTGGTGATTATATGGTATCTTCTCCTTTTCCTAATTTGAATAGTTTTCATTTAGTGTTGATTTTCTTCTTGCCTTTAAAGTTGGTTTTGTTTTTCTTCTCCAAAGCCTGTTTTAGACACTTAAGCTTTTAACAGCTTCTCTGGTAACAAGCTGTTTCTGTGCATAAACTCACACTCATCAAGCAGCACATGAGAAGAAGCAGTGATGGTGCTGCTCAAGTCTCATTAAATGTGGACTCAGTGTGATATAGACGTGTTCCAACAGAGATACCCAGCATTTGCTTCCTTTGGCTTATATTCAGATTCCCCAAGTGAGCTGTCAGCAAATTGTAAAAAATGTTACTGACTGTTTCTTAATTGATTCTTGTAGGATTCGGACAGTTTTGAGCCTAAGAATACAGAGACAGTGAAGAAGCCAAAGGCAACTGCTCCACAGATAAGCAAGAAACCGAAGAAGGAAACCAAAAAGAAACGATAAAGCTGTGACCTATGAGCCTCAAAAGACAAAATAATCACCTACAATCATGCTTCCTCGGAGATGACATCAAAGACAACTGACTGTATTAAATAGTTTTCTGGCATTGCCATGCTTTACCTTTTGGGGGCAAGGGAGAATGAGCTTTTAAGAGTGGAAGGGGCAGGGTTCTGCCCCAGATTTCCTACAAGCAAAGAGGACTTCACATATCCAGAACTTCATTTGACATGATTAATGTGTCAGTCACCATTAAAGTGACTTCTGTCATTTCTGATGGGTAGAGAGGGCTGTTGTCCTAGCTCTCCATGCTGGCTAGGAGTTGTAGTAAAGTCCCTGTGAAGGTGGAGCATGGGTTTGCTACTTTGGATACCGGTTTGTGTTGTGTTTTTTGAAGGCAGAGGGATCAAATGGATCAAGGACACCACACTACACAGCTTTGTATTCATCTCTGTTGTCATCTAGTCTGAAATACATAGCTGCATTTATGGCTTAATAATAATGTCTTTGTCATATTCTTTAATTCTTCAGGTAATAACTCATCAGATTCCAGACTGCTGTAGATGAAAGCTTTCATTTCCCCAGCGTCGCTACCTCTTTCTTATTCCCCACCCATGCACTTTGCCTTTCTGTTCCCACTCTTGAAAGCAGGTACAACCTGGGGAATGGAGGCTGTGCTGGGGACTGAAATGACTAGAAGAGTCAGGGAACAATTTGATTCTGGAAAGTGCAGAATTTAATGTCTGTGCTAATGGAGTGTTCTTGAAAACTTGGCAAGACCAGGTCCTGCATGTTGGAGAGAGGCTGCTTTGAGGCAGGGGTCTCGGGGTGCTGCATTGGTCATGTGTTGAATGACGCTGCCTCGCCGTGCTGACTGAGCTGAGTCTGAACTGCGTGCTCCATTTCATCACAGCTGGGGTTTGTTACATTTACAAACTCCCTCCCAGCTTTACCTGCTGTATTCTGCTGTATCTCCTCTTGCTGAATTCTTCCTGAAGTTAGGTATGATCTCAGCCTGAGGAGAGGTGGTATTTTAAGATCCAAGGGGTGGCAGGCTGGCTGTATAGCGTGACTATATGGCAAGAGACACAGACACTGTGTTCCTTCAGGCTCTGGCTCTCCAGGCCTGCGGACAATCTAGTACTAGATTTAAATATGGCTAGACAGGACGGGAGAGAGATAGGTGGTGACGTAGCCACAGAGTCTCTGTAGGGCAGCTCGAGCTTCCTGATGCCAGCTCACATCTTGGTTTGTTTGATCACGAATGAGTCAATGGGAGGAGAACCTGCTCTTTTAGGCGCACCCAGGGTTCAGAGCAGCTTTGAAGGAAAGTGTTCTCTGGCAGGGCTGCAAGTCTGCGATCCTTTTTGCATACACTGGCTCCCATCCTCAATTCACAGATGCCTTGTGAGCCCAAATGCTGTAGCAGTGTTGTGCTGCCTGTTCTCTAACAGGAACTGAACAACACATTTACAGAAACCACCAGTGTTGAGAGTGGCCACGTTCTCTGCTCGCTATGGCTTTTGATGGGTGAGACGGATCCCAGTACCAGTTTGATTCTAACCTCTCACTGCTTCCCTGCTCCAGGCTCTCTGCTTCTCTCAACCAGAATGCTGTCGTGAAGTTGCACTGCTTAAAATCCAGCTTGGAGTTCTGCTTTAAATTCAGCATTTTCTTTTTCTTCTTTCTTTTTTTTGAACTACATAAAGTCACTAATAGGAGGACAGAACAAAGCATGGGAGACACAAGCACTTTAAAGTTGTTTTGAGTTCTCAGTACAAAGAAACATTACAAAAAATTTCCCACACAAATAACAAAGAACAATATTGTGCTATGAGTTTCCATGATGGACCTGTGTTCCTGTCTGTGATCTGCAGGAGAAGGAAAAGCATTGCCACTGCCCTGGATAGGTGCTGCAGGTCACTTCTTCCATTTTCATAAATGAACACGGTGCTGGTTTTATCTGACAGCTCTGGCTTTCTGCAGGTTACTTAAAGGGAGGGAGGGGGTTAATTCTTTAACAGAATTGCAACTACTGAAAGAGCAGCACACTACCCAGAATCTAGAATTGCTTCTACAGCTAAGAATCAGTTAGTGATGAGCAGTGTGTGGTTGTTACCTGAAATCGCAGGCTACTACATCCACATCTACACCTGGCTGTTTGCAGGCTGGTTTACTCATTGTTAAGTAGAAATCATGGATACTAGAATTTGTTTTTGTCGGGGGAAAAAGGGATTAAGATGAATTTCTCACTCTATTCCTAACAGCTTTATACCTATTTGAATGCTCTTGTTAGCTGCACGTATAGTATGTCCCATGTTATTTTAGATTCTCTTAAAATGTGTAATAAATACAATCAGAATCTCTTTGTTTAAAAAGAAATCTCTTTTTAAAGTTGTGCTGCCTCTTTCCATGGATTCCCTGTGAAAGCTGCTCGAACTCTCAGCAGCTGTGTTCCCTATAGGAACACAGGGACATAAATGACCTGTTCATAGAAGTGATCCATTAGAGGAAAGCCTTTCAGATCCTTTAATCTGTGAGAAATTGGTCAGTTAATAGTCAGGCAGGTGTGTATCTGTGTTTGACTGGGAAGTAGCAAACTATCTCCCAGGCCAGCTTCACCTTCCTGGAAGGCAGGAGGAAATGGTGTGATAACTAAATTAATTTGCCTCTCATGAGAGATTTTTGTCTGCAAGAGCCCCCATGAAGGTAGAAATAATAAATAATAATAATAATAATAATACAAGCAGAGGGTTACATGGGGATTCAGTAGACTGGTCATGGAGATTTGAAGTAGCCCTTCGGTGTGTGATTGTAGCTCAGGTTTATGTGGCTGGAGTGTGGAGCTGTCTGGTGGCTCTTCTTGGCTGCAGCAAGACCGGTGTGGTAGCCAAGCTCTGGCAAGCAGCATCTGTTGATTCCCTCACCAGAAAACCAAAACAAGAGAAGGACTAGTGTGGTGACTCCTTCAGTTCCCAAGCACTTTTCTCCAGGCTGTTCTGTAATTAACATCCCAAAGGGAGCTGAAGACCTCATTAAGTCAATTTTATTGAAGAAGAGGTTTTCAAAGGTCTACCTCCAGATACCTGCCAGTAGGCAGCACCTCAGTGAACAGCACCTTGCTCTGCCACCCCAAGCCCAGGAGCTGGGCTGAGAGCTGGGTTTCCTCTGCTAACACATGTTAGAGCGTTCCTTTCCCTCAACAGGCCAAGCCTCAGCTCTGGAGAAACATGGCTGGGAGCTGGGAATTCCTTGGTTCCTTTTTGAGTGTGTTCAAGCAGCTCTGCCTCTCTGGCCACACTCATCTCGAGAGCTGTGGCCATCGCTGTCCCCTTGAGCTGTCCCACGCTCACAATGCATCCTTGTGCTCTCCAATGCAAGCAGCACAATCCCTTGAGACAGGCTAATAAGTAGCTCGTGACTGGAGTTCCAGTTCACATAGTTCAATTAAATCCCTGTTAATCTTGTTCAGACCTAATTTACCTTCATTCTCATACACACGCTTTTCTCTGCCTCAGAGAGATTCTGGTGAGGTTCCCTACTGACAGGAACTGAAGAGCCCGAGGCCATCTTTGAAGGGGGCTGATGTTTGCCGAGCAGCCCCCTTGTCGAGTCAATAAGCAAAGATGATTTCCCATCCTGTCATGAGGAATGTGAAAATACTCCTTCAGTGCCTGGATTTCAGGGGGGATCAAGGCCGGATGTGATGATGCTTGAGGAGAAAATCAGGAAGCTGTAGGAGTGGAGGACCTGCTCAGTGCCTCTGTTTCCCAGGGCACTGCTGAACTGGTGTTCCCATGTGTGTGTGTGTGTTAATTTTTGGACAGCTGAGAGCTGAGGTGCTGGACTTCTCTCTTGGGAGCCTCTCTTACACACTGGTATTTCTTTCAGGCAGAAGTTACGTTGTTCACAGCCTGTGGCCTGCAGGGATCGAGATGACTGTATTGATTTAGTTGTTTGTTTATTATTCTCATGAGGCATCAGAGACAGAGTGCAGCAAGAAAATGGGATGATGAATGGAGAGTGCTGGAGCACAGAGCACGGCTGCTTGTTTGGTGATGGACCTCATTGCCAGCTTTGGCACTGGGAAAGGGATCTGACCCTCCTCTTCCTCTTCATCCAGCCTGAAGGGATGACTCTGTTGGGGAGCATTCCCTTTCTCTCTGGCAAGAGACATGGGCACTAATCTGTTTGCGTTTCGTCTGTTTCTTCTTTAATTGGCAGCTACTGCAGGTCCAAGGTCCTGCTCTTCTCCTCTGGCAGTTTGTGGCTTTTCAGTGGTTGGTTGTGAGGGTTTTTTCTGGTTTTTGGTACCCAGGCCAGTGTGCAGTAGCTGGTCTAAATGTCTCTTGCTTGGGGCTGGCAGTTGCAGGGCAATGAACTCCCCTTCCTGCCTCTCCCTTGAAATTTGACTGGTTCTCCCATTTCATGTTGATTCTTCCCAATTTGTGGTTTTTCTGTCACTGTAATTCACCCCTGTGCCCCTTCTCATAGCTTTTACCCTGTAGAATCATGTCCATTGCAGTTTTTCTGTCCTTGCAGCCAAATTTTACCTACCAGTGACAGACTGTGGGTATCACCTGCTGTTACAAGGACTGATACAAAGAAAGAACACGTGGAGAGACATCCAGGATGGAGAAAGGTGTCCCCTTGTAATCAGCCCCTTTAGCATGTCTCTCTTCCCTGATGATGGGAATGACAGCTCTCTGCCTTGGGAGCCCCAGGTATACCCAGGAAGCTGTGCCATGCACATCAGCCTACTCCTGAGCCACCAAGGGTTAAAATGTTCAACTCTGACACTTCCAAGCTCATGTGATAAGTGAGTGCCGTGGTGCTGTGCGTGCTTCACACCACTCATTGAGATCCTGCTGCTCACTACCACACACAGATTTGTCTTGTGCAATCCCAAACCTCTCGCAGTGCTCACTCCCTCCTCCCAGCTTCCCTGGTTTCATTTAGTGCCTGGAGGCCCTGGTGTGGCTTTGGTGCTCCTTGCACCTTGCTTTGCTGGAGGCGTGAACAGCCACGCACCGGGAAACCGCAGTCCCGCCAAGGACTGCAGCCACGCGGGGCGGGTGATGGGAGCGGAGAGGCTGACGGGTTCCTCCGTGGCTCACGTCCAGCTTTTTGGCTGGTAGGTAGGAGGTGATTTGGATGACATCTTTGCTTTTTTAAAAACATCTGTTGCTTGGCTGATGTCTGTTGTTGCACTTGAAGAGCTCGGCTCCCAAATGAGGGTGCTGGGAGTGGAAGGGGTTGAAGGGCTCTCACTTCTTCCGCTCTTCAGTCCGAGGCAGGGAGCTGTGTCCCTAGTGCCGTGCAGTCCTATTGCCGTGCTGCACACAGCATTCCTTGTTTGTGAGACCCACACTCTGGATGCTCCCCTCATTTCTTAACAGAAGGCTGTCCGAGCCTCTCCTGTGCTGCCCCGTAAGTGTCAAGTTCAACCAGTTCCAGTTCACGGACTGGGGCCATGAAAGGCACCAGCACTGGCCTGAGACATGTCATAGTTTGCCCAAGCTGAGGCTACAA